ACACAACCTTGTTATTGAGGAAGTAATATTAGAACAAAAATACTTGAAAAACTATGTAAATAATTTAAGAGAATTTCCAATAGCGCATAAGCTGGGTCACCACGATAATCAGAAGAAATTTTATCAATCTCGTCAATTAGAAAACAAGGATTAATAACTTGAGCTTTTTTCATGGCCTGGATAATTCGGCCTGGCATAGCACCAATATAGGTGCGACGATGACCTTGGACTTCGGCCACATCACGAATCCCCCCTACAGAAATACTAACGAATTTTCGTCCAGTAGTTTCGGCAATCGAGGCTGCCAAGGAAGTTTTTCCCACCCCCGGCGGACCGACCAAGCAAATAACTTGCCCTAGTGACTTATTAGCTTTTTGTTGAGCAGCTAAATATTCAATAATTTTTACTTTTATTTCCGACAAACCATAATGTTTTTCGTCCAACTTCTGGCGAGCAAATTCTACATCATTAATTTCCTTGGATCTTTGGTACCAGGGTAGATTTATCAACCAGTCCACGTATTGTTTAATAATGTTAGCTTCGCTAGAATTACTCGGCATCGAGTCATAGCGCTCAATTTCTTCTCGAACCACTTTCTTAACATAATCAGGATAAGGAAAACTTGCTAGTCGATCTAAATACTTATTCATTTCACTTCCTTCACGACTCTTTTTTCCTCGTAATCTCTTTTCAATAGCTTTTAGTTTTTCTCGTAAAAAATACTCTTCTTGTTGGCTATTGATTCGCTCTCGTGTATCTTTTTCAATATCATTTTCAATCTTCTGCCGATCAGGTAAATTAATTAGTAACTCTAATCTTTCTCTTATGTCCAAAGAAGAAAATATTTTCCATTTAATTAATGGATCTATCTCTTGACCATTTTGGGCAATAAAGTCAATAAGATTACTGATATTTCCTTTCATCATAGTCACGTAAGGAAATTTTTCGATTGTGCCTAACTTAGTTTTCTCAAGAATATTCGAAAAATGGCGAATAAATTTTTCAGTTAATTCTTCCAATGTTCTTTCATCTATTTCTTTTTCTAATAAATCTTCATGCTCCCCCTTCCAAACTTCTTCTTGTTTTTCTAAATTAGTTATTTTCACTCTTTTTAAACCTTGTAACTTAATTTTTTTGCATGAATTAATAATCTGTTCAAAACTATCTGCTTCAAAAATCTCTAAACTAATTTTTCCCAATGCTCCAATAAAAGTAACTTTTTCAGAATCAACATTCTTTCCCTCTTTGAAAACAACTAGCAATTGACCATCGTGATTAATTAACGCTTGCAAAACAACATTCTTTCAAGCAGAATTATTTTCAAGAGGCAAATAACTGTCGCAAGTAGGAAACAAAAAAAAATTCTCTAAATCTACAAATAAAATGGGAAGTTTGTTCATATTTTTAATAGTTACTGTTAGGTAATAAAATGATAAATTATTTTCACAATGGCGCCCATGAAGAGAATCGAACTCCTGACCAAACGCTTAGAAGGCGTTTGCTCTAATCCACTGAGCTACATGGGCCCATTAATTATTTTTTAGCAAAAACGTGGTTTATTCAATTTTAATAAATTTAAATCTTTTGAGGCATTATCCAAAACGCTGGCTCTACTGATATCTATTTTCAAGTCATACTCTCAATCTAAATTTTTCATTTTGAAGTATTGAGCACGATTTGTTCCTATAACACGGTCTCCTCTCAATTTTTCTCTCTCTTCTAAAATTTCCAGTCCGCAACTTATATTTATAAAATAAACTTGAAATTCTCTTAAATTATTTACATAGTTTTTCAAGTATTTTTGTTCTAATATTACTTCCTCAATAACAAGGTTGTGT